AGGAAGCCCCGTGAAGGCCCTCCCTGGCCCCAGGCAGGCAGGGGTGGGGAGAGGCAGGGAGGAAGCAACTTACCCTCCCTCTTCTCCTGCCTCCTCCTGGCTGAATGAGGGCCGGGAGCGAGGCGGCCGGAAGCAGGGGGCGGGGCTTCGTCATGTGCCCCGCCCCCCATACCTCACCCGGGGGAACTGCGATCCCCCGCGATCCCCCCCGAAAGGACCTCTGGTGCACTGGAGTCCAGGCAGTTCCCCTCCCTTCTCATTCTTCCTTCACATTACAGCTTTCCAGATGTCAGTTCCCCAGCAGGAACTCAGTTCCCAAGCACAAGAGACCCCACTTCAGATTGGGGCCATCATCTTCCCTCTGCACCATTTCCCTGATTTGAAATAGCCCTGGGGGTCGCTAGCTGCCTCACTGGGGAACCCACACGGACCCTGTCAGTGCAGCCCCCAGTGGGACAAATAGCACCCACCCCCTTGGGCTGCTTCAGGTCAGGAAAATGGCTCAGGGGAAGGGCTCAGGCCCATTCTCGCTGCGCACCGTGATCCCGATCCAGATGGGGCCCCTGCATGCTGAGTTTTCAGTGAGGAACTCACCGCTGACATCTGATCAAAAGTCCTTTGGACAGGCTCAGGAAGGAGATGTGGAAAATCTCCTTAGGCCCTCAGACGACGTCTCTTAACAAGTTGTATTCTCATCCCTGTACATTTAAATTATACAAACTGGGATGAAAAGTATTCATTTAAATATAGCTTCATGGGATCTGAACTGACCAAGGAAGAGATTTGGAGTTTGTGAATACTTCAACGAAAATACCAGGTTGGTGTGTGACAGCCTCTTAAAAGTGGCAAATTCTATGCAAGGGATTAGAAAGGGATTGAAAATTAAGCATCAAGTATTATAGTGCCTTTAAGAAGCTTTATGATATGGCAGCATTTGGAATATTGTATACAGTTGGAATCCTGTGTATAGATCAATGTATCCCAAAAAGGATATTCTAGTGCTGGGAAATGTGAAGAAAGGGCAACCGAAACGACCCAGGAGTGGAGCACCTTCCCCCAAAGGAAAAGCGAAAGAGTAAGGGCTCTTTGTTCACTAAAAAGATGGCTTGTCCTTAGTCATCAAGTATCACAGTGGTCACCTGCTATGAGCTCAGCCCACCAGGACTGCTATGGCTCCTGTGTCTTTCTACAATTTCAGCATTAGGGCAGGTTTGCAGCAACTGTATAATGGTGATTCAATCAAGGCAGCCTCCGGTCAGTGCTGCTACAATTAATCAAAGAGTGATTAACACATGGAATTCACTGCCACCGGAGGTGGTGGCGGCTACAAGCATGGACGGCTTCAAGAGGGAATTGAATAAATATTTGGAGCAGAGGTCCATCAGTGGCTATTAGCCACAAGGTACAGATAGGAACTCTCAGTCTGGGGCAAGTGATGCACTGTACTCTTGGTGCTGGGGGAGGCAACAGTGGGAGGGGGCTTCTTGTGTCCTGGCCCCACTGGTGGACCTCCTGATGGCACCTGGTTTTTTGGCCACTGTGTGACAGTGTTGGACTGGGTGGGCCATTGGCCTGATCCAACATTGCCTTTTCTTATGTTCTTATGGGAGGAGTTTTGTAAAGAATGCTTGTAAAGGATGCAGGGGGGAAATGCTGGGGGGGGGGGTACTGTAGGGCTGAACAGGGACACAGGATTTTTATCTCTCTGCAGAGGCTAACTTACAACACCCCTCCCGCCTTCTGACTGGGATAAAAAGCCCCAGATCTCCACTCCTACTCATGTCTGATAAAAGGAGCCTTGACTCTCTAGGGGGCGGGTACTGGAGGGCTGAACAGGGACACAGGATTTTTATCTCTCTGCAGAGGCTAACTTACAACACCCCTCCCGCCTTCTGACTGGGATAAAAAGCCCCAGATCTCCACTCCTACTCATGTCTGATAAAAGGAGCCTTGACTCTCAAAAGCTCCTTCCCTGAAAATTTTGGTGGCCTCTAAGGGGCTCCGGGACTCAGACCCAATGGTCCTACTCCAGATCAACCCAGCTACCCTCTGAAACTGTATCTCTCCTTATATATAATTCAGTATGAATCTCAAGGCTTCCGAGTAAGGAAAATTTCAGTCCCAAATCAGGATCAAGGCTTATCTTCTTTACAGTTAGATTCAAGTCCAATAGCACCTTCAAGAGCAAGAAGATTTTCAGGGTGTAAGCTTTTGAGAGTCAATAAAGCTTGCTTCCCCAGACACCAGTAGGAATGGAGACAGGAGTCCTTTCCAGTCAGAAAGTGGGAGGAGTTTTGTAAAGAATGCTTGTAAAGGATGAAGAGGGACTAGGCACATTGCAGTCGGCTTGACTGGAGCAGAGGGGAAATGGGGGTGGGGGTGGTAGGAAATTAGCATCTTTAGTGAGATAAGAACCCTATCTCCCTATTCAGTCCAGGGCAGCCCATTGCTCTGAATGTGTGAACGAACTTGGGTTCAGCAATCTCGCATTGTCATTTCCCCTGGACATTTCTTTGCGGGGGGGGGGGGGGGGGGGGCAG